TTAACTCTTATTTCCTTAATCAGTTAAAGTAAATAGTTAAATGGCTATACTAAATAAATTATATACTATACGAAATAAAGCTGCATTTCGAAAAATCTGGACTTTAATTCCGAATAAAAAATGTAGTAGTAGGAATTAGAAAGATGGCTTTGACAGAAGATGTAATAGGATTCTGGAGCTGTATTCCGTTTAAGGTAATAATTGGATTAATAGTTGAATTTTTCACATTTATACGAGTAGGTCTCTTGACTTTCACATAAACTTGTTTCCCAAAAGCTATTCTCATACAGACTGAAATGGATTGAAGTTTCGATTTCGGTTAGGTCTCATCAGCACCCCAGGCAGGACTGGAATCCTGATAGTGTAGCATATAATCCACATTTCGCTGTGACCCAGTGATACTTGTGTCAGTATGGCGTAGTGGCCTACGTGACGAGGCTGTGCTGTATTAACCGGGTTATAGTGCTGACGAAACCTAGGCAAGATTGAAATTATGGTCTACTTCGGTCTGTCTGCCTTTTGATCTAAATTACTATCGCATTATAAATTTGCTTCGATCGCGTTTTTTCTTGAGTTACTACTTCTGTATATTTACCCCACGCTTATTCTTGTGTTTGGTGCCGATTCAATGTTTTTGAAGGTGGATATCGCTTGGCTATGCAGTGTGAAGAAGCTTCAGAAGGTGGCAGTCGTTTTAGCAACCCTAAGCCATCCGAGCAAGATATTCGGCTATCTCTTGGGACCGAATCTGCTGAAAATGTAAATACCACTAATGAATTGTATCTTCGTGAAAAACCTGCAAATATCATTGCAGCCTCACAGCAAGTGCGAAAAAAGGCTCCCGGAGAGTGGTATTTTGACAGAAACATATTTATTCATTCTCGTGGCAAGGAATGCCAGTCATATCTTAACGAATTGCTTCAATCTCAAATGCTCGTTCAGGTAACTACTTTCTTATTCTACGTAAATTATGTATCTATAGGTTTATCTTATCGCAATTAACTATTAAAATTTAAATACATATTCAAATTTAATTTATCTCAGTCTTGATTCAACAGGTGCCGAATTTCATTAGATTCCCTTCATCTTGATTGAGATTTGTCATTCATTAATAAGCTCAGTTGTGGTTCAATAAATATCATATATTTTAGGAAAAAAATTAACTTCAGAATCCACAAAATAAATTAAACTTATAGAAAATGTTTGACTTTGGTTTTGCAAGTTGGTCATATTAGCAGGAAAACCTAGATGAATGCACCTTGCCCGAAGTCCATAGTATGCATAATAACTTCCAGAGTCGAACCTTGGACTTGGTGCATTCCCAGAGACTGGTCTCATCAGCGAGTTGTATCTCGATCGCTGAGAATGGTAAGACCCACTGATGATGCCGATTACGATGCTGGCGTAACGTCCGGTATTGTACCAAGTCCACATTCCGA